CCTGAATTCCCTGGAAAATTCAAGAAACACCCTAATTTCTCTCTAAATTTCCTAGGAATTCCTAAGAATCCGTTCTATTGGTTTGAAATTGCAGCAAATTGCTGGATTCTTTCTCCCAATTCATCGGAATGTCTAAAGTTCCCCCAAAACTTCTCAAAACTCCCTGACTTTCCTCGCAAGTTCTAGAAACGCCCTGGTTACTCTCCAAATGACTGGAAATCCGTTGAAATTTCCTCGAAATTGTCAGAAATCACTAGGATTGACTTCGAATTTCCCCAAATTTACTGGAAATGACTAGAATGCCCTGAATTTCATCGAAATATCAAGGAACTTCTCCAACTGCCTGGAAATTTGTAGAAATCTTTTCAAATTTTTCCGAATTTTTATAAATTTCTGGGATTCTCGGAAAAGTTCTAGAAACATCTTGAACTCTTTCGTAAGTTCACACAATCCCGAGAATTTCCTCGGAATTTCTCGATTTCTGTTGAATTCATTTGAATCTTCTCCACACTCCATGAATTCCCTGGAGACTTCTAGAAATGTTTTGAATTAGCATCAAATTTCTAGAAATTGCGTGGATGACCTCTAAATTTCGAGGAACTCCTGAAATCCCCTTGAAATTTACAGAAAATACCTGAATTCTCTCGAAAGAGGACTCTTTTCAACCGATTCCTTATTTTTTTTAGCTCGGATTTCAGCCAGGAGATCCTGCTGCAGAAGGAGCTAGAGTTGCTCCACAGCCATCGGTACCAGGACGTAGAGTCCCTCCAACAGATGGAGACCCCCTACAGCGAGAGATACCTCCAGCACGTGGAGCAATCCCAGTTCCTGAAGGACAACCGGAGAATGTTCCAGAAAGGACAGTCATGCGGGAGATCCTTCAGGAGCTCCAACTGCAAAGAGAAGCAAGAGAGAGAGAGAGGCAAGAGAGAGAGAGGAATGAGAAATAGAGACAAGAGAGAGGGAGGAAGCAGAAAGGAAGAAGAAGAAGAAGAGAGGGAGAAAATACTGGGGAGGGGGTGATAGATACCCAGGATATGGTGGTGGCCGTCGAGGGGGAGGGAGAGGAGGAGGAGGGTATGGGGGAAGGTACGGCGACAGAGGATATGTCCTCCTGTAAGAAAGACAATAAAAAACGTCCATAAAATGAAAAATCGTCTCCGTCATTTCTTTCCTATTTAGCCGTCCCATTCCTTCGTCTTCATCAATAACATTTCTACTCTAAAATTGTCATTTCTTTATTATATTTTTGTAGAAACCCCCTGGAAAGCTCGTGGCTCGGTTTCATATGTGACATTTCAGATTTATTTGACTTCCCATTTTTAACAACCTTCATATGACTCCCATGTGACTTCCATCGGACTCCCATGTCACCTACATATGACCCTCTTATAACGTCGTATTTTCGGTGAATTTTTGACTCTCATATGAACTACTGATGACCTTCATACGGCCTCCATATAAACCTCAGATTCCCAATTGAACCCCATATGACGTAACCCTCACATGACCTCCATATGACCCTCATAGAAAAACTTGAAAAAAAATTCAATCTTGACCCTTGTGAATACTTGAACCATTGAAAATTGTGCTTTTCACCCTTTCCGAAATGAAATAAAAGTTATCAATGAGTTCTCCAAATAATTTCAAGTAAATTTAGATATTGTTTTTCTTCTGTAATACTCGTTTGCCAAATATACGTATTTTCGCATCGAAAACTTTTTCTCAAACAACGGAAATGCTTTCCTAAATATCTCCGAACGATCCCCAAATTAGTGCCATCAGTGAAAATGAATATTTATTTTTTCGTCTGCTAAGTATACAATCGTCATAGTCTCCATTTCACCCTTGGTGCCTATTATAGAAACCCCCTGGAAAGTCGCCAAGAGTCGCCATTTCTTCTTCTTCCTAAATGAGGGAGTGAGTTTACCCACACGATTCCCCCCCCCCCACTTCCCAACAAAAAGTAGAGAGAGACNAATTTTTGGAAAAAAATGGGGTCCATTTTACCCTCACCCCCCGACAAAGAATAGGGGAGTCATTTCACCCACACAATCTAGTGACCTTCACCCCTTCTGTCCCCATCTACCTTCACCGCCCAAAAAAATGTTGAGAGCGAAAAAAGTTTAGGGTCATTTTACTCTCACCCCCTCCCCCCCCCAAAAAGAAATAGGATGTCCAGTTTATCCACATGCTTTATTTCCCCCCGCCCCTCTCCAAATTTTTACATTTTACGCTCATCTTCT